TTTTTTTTTTTTTTTTTTTTGGTTTTAGTATTTGGAAAGGTTCTAGAAATTTATTTGGCAGCAAAATATCTACATAACATTAGATCTGATTCCATAAACTTACATATGCAATTGAAGCAAGCAAGGCTGCACACAAGATCAATTTCTCCCCAACCAACGGGTTGAGTAAAGGAAGCACCAGCATCTTGAAACACACATAAGCAGAAGCATTTTTAATTACGTAATACAGTTTAAAAGAAAAATATATGAGTTAGAAAGGCTAGAGACAGTAGAAAAGATGATAAGAAAAAGTTTCGGAATGAAGTATCCAAACAAATCTTGAGATGGTATATTCAAATACCTGAGAAAAAATAGAGCCAACCCCCACCATCATCAAGATTTCTGACAACTGATTTTTGTTGAAACCAAAAACTGATTTCAAGTAATACTGCAAGATTGTATAAGCCAGTTAAAGAAGATTTACACATATGCCAACAACTTAGATCACAAACTTCCGCTGATTTTATGATAACATCACTCTTACAAAAACACCAAAGTGTTAGGTTGCTCTTATAGCAGATTTTTACCCTTAAAACCATAGTTGCAGCACTGCTGTTGCACACATTCAGGTTTAATGATTCTTTATGCGAAGACAGTTAACAAATGTTCCCGAATCAATTCATGCAAGGAGAGAATACAAGGTCTTCTCTAGTAGAGAGGAGGTTGGGGTTTCAAATCCATTTCCATACATATTCTCCATGCTTATATTAAAAGGATACTGCTTTTTATTATAACATAAAGGTTTGTATTTGCAGAATGAAACAAAAAGTGAATCTGTTAAGAAGAAACATTTGTTAAGTTCAATGAATTATGCCATACATATTATTTATTCTTTATGTACTTGTTCGAGACATACCAATAGGACGCTGCTGATGCCAGACATCCCCAATTCATAGAAGAAGGAAACAAGAGAAATGCGCTTAAGCGTTGAACTGAGGCAACAATAAGAAAAAATAAATAAATACATATATTATAAACTAAGCTGGTTTGGTAAGGAATGTTTTACTAGGAGCTAAGCTTGCATAAATATAATATTAATTCTATGGTCGATTCACAAAAATTATAAGATATTTCCTGGATAATGTAAAGCATCTGTATATATATACCTGCTGGTAACAACATGCACAGCATACTTCATTGCATAATATCTTCCTTTAACAATATCCAATGCCTTGTTAAAGAAAGAGATGTGCTGGTCTGATTTTTGAGTTGGTCCCACTGTTTCTTTCAGAAAAAGTGCCATATAAACAGGAACAAAGATCAATAGAGCTATTGACACCTGAAATTCAGAACTAGTTATATGAATGAGATAAAAAAGAATAGAAAACCATGTGGATAAAAGATGACAACACGAGCATACCTCAAATATGTATCCTTCGGGAAGAAAACGCGCTAAGGCATTACCTACAACATGTGAAGCGGAGAAAAGGCCTGTGATCCAACTAAAGGCAGCAGCCCTTTTACTGTTATCAATAACATCTGCCTGAAAGGAGGGCAAATAATTTGCAAACCGAATCCTTATACCCCAGTTCGGGAACAGTAGTAACAACATTGAATTTACTTACAGCATAAGCAACAGAAATGCAAAAGATGCTCCCTTGGCTTATGATATAGGAAATGGTCCGGATAGCATAATAAGCATACACAGATCCTTTTGATTGATCAATGGCAAGTAAAGCTGGAAAGTAAAACAATACTTTAGGAAAAAAAAATGTGATCCCAATAATTAAAAACAAAATATTACAATACTAGTAAGCTAAAGTGGATGGCGTAGGATATTCTTGTCATTATCATCTTTCACGTTCCTAGTTTATCTTAAGTGACAAAATGAGGGGACCAATAAACACAATGAGTAAGTGAGATAACACATGGTCTAATCACCTAATGTATATAACTATATATATATCAAGTTGAATGACTGATATTTGGTGTGCTTAATCCTTTATTCTAAGCATCAAATCTGGCTCTGGGCTAGTTCAATTCAAGAAAAGCTGTAAATAGGAGCACCTTTCTCTATATGAGATCTGACGATCGTACTAGACTGATTTTCTCTTAACTGGAAACAATTTATCTTTCAATCCCAAACCGTCATTACGGATTTTCAGAACTAATGATACTAAAAGCATATTTCACTCCCCAATACTTGGACTTCCACAATCAGGCAAAAACATTCAGTTAGTACACAATTTTGAGATATCATACGACCAACGAAAAGATTAAAAACATAATAATAAAGTTCGTGCAAAGAATAAATCCCATCTATAGAAACATACTGAAAGGAACAATTGTGGTGGATACAGTGATAAGAAGCAATGGTTTTCGTCCGTACTCATCCGCCAACTGACCCAAGAGTGGAAGAACTATCATCTTGAATATGCCGACTACCTGTAACCACAACCGCATGCTACAGCTTGAGAGTGAGCACCCGGGAACAATTTGGTGATGGTTAAATTGTGTTAACAATTTCATCATTACAATAAAGTAGTAAATAGTTTCGATCTTCGCCAATCGAGTTCCGAATGCAACAGCCCCAAAAGTAAAATATAGTCATATAACAGTTTACACAAACAACTCCCCAAATTCAACAAGAAAAAACTAAGGATAAAAGGATCAAATTCAGGTCCAGAACACGTCAAACTTCCACAATTCAACAAGTTTTAATGTACAGACTCACAGTTTGCTGGATGCCATTAATGTAGATGGCTTGAGGGCAAGTGTTCTGTCCCGGGCAAAGGGCATTAGTGGTGACGTCGACCAGAACTGAAACAGTCATTTCTTCAGCAACCCAATGCACACACAGAGGCAACAGAAGGTGCACCAATGGCCTTAGCTCTCTCATTTTTCTTCACCAATCCTCTTCAAACACAAATTCTCGATCGATAATTATTCAGCTATCCACAAATTTAGCTGCACATACAAAATTTAATGTTACCCTGAGCAGAGACTCTGCATATGGATTGATTGAATTATTGATAGGGATTGGGGCTTTGGTGATAAATGAGGTAGTTGAAACTCGATAGGGACCACTTGGAGCAGACATGTATGTGTATTGTGTATGGTCAGAACGGCGAACACGACTGCTGCTGTGTGCTTGCGTGAATCGTGCAGAGGAGTTCGATCTCGGAGGTGTACCCGTTGCTGCCTGTGTTGTACAAAGGATTGGGCACGCCAGATGGGGAAGTGGGCACGGCATTTTCGCGTGTCCGCCATCGATGGGCGTGTGTGTGGAACACGTTGATGGATATGGGATGCTTTCTTTAGTTGATATGTATATCTCGTGCATTTAGTGGGGATGGGTCCACTTAGGCTTTGTTTGGTTCGGAGGAATCGGAGGGGAGGGGAAGGGAGGGGAGGGAAATTTTTAGTTTTCCCTTGTTTGGTTCGATTTTAAGTAAGGAGAGAGATTAAGATTTTCCCTTCAAATCCCTTGGAGGAGGGAAAATACACACTCCTCCAAAAGTGGGGGAATTTGGAGGGGAGGGAAAACTTTTAACATCAAATTACTCTTTTGACCTTATTGTGAATTATTTTATTTTTTGTTTCTTACATTATTAAGGATATATTTGTCATTTTAACATTATTTTCCTTCCCCCTCCATCTTCTAACCAAACAAGGTTAATCATTTTCCTTCACCTCCCTCTCTACAAAATCCATCCAAACAAGGTAAATTATTTTCCCTCCCTTTCCCTCTCCTCCCCTCCCTTCCATTAAATTCCCTCCCCTCCCCTCCCCTCCCGTGAACCAAACATAGGCTTAGGGCTTGATAGAGTCGGGTCTGATAGACCAGTAGCACTACCGTGTGCCCAGGGCATATTTGCACGCGCCCCTCACTTCTCAAAATTAGAGAAATTAAGAGAGTGTAGTGCACATTCCCAATTTTCCTTTTTAATTGAAAAATGAGACATATTACATAAATTAAAAATCATTATTTATTTATATTAAAAAAATAATAAAAAATACCAAAATTCATAATTTTTCATTATCTATAAATGGAGACCACATTTGATAGGTTTTTTAACGCAACTAATTTTTCGTTTTATAATATGTTCACCTTATTGTGTATGTAACATGTTCATCTTATTCTATAACATGTTCATTTTATTATGTAACATGTTCATCTTATTTTATAACAGGTTCATCTAAATCTCATCTGTGAAAATGTAACTTTTTCATCTTATTAGAGAGGATTTTGGTTTGTGAAGGTAGAGGATATTCGATCGAAAGACTAATTTATGGAATTTCTTTTACATTCTACTAGTTTTTTACTTTCATTCCCTATAGTATGACTATTGCATAAATTTGAGTTCTTAACTGTAGATTATGGTTTATTATTTCAGGGCGGGGATGCTTGCATTAAACGAGTGAAAGTCGAGCAACAAATTGACCAGAATTTTGTGTATGAAGTGGAAATGAGAGAAAATAATATGAGAGCCCGTGATGTAGATATGGAATCTAAACATGTTCATCTTATTCTATAACATGTTCATTTTTCATGTAACATGTTCATCTTATTCTATAACATGTTCATTTTATTATGTAACATGTTCATCTTATTTTAGAACATGTTCATCTAAATTTCATATGTGAAAATTTAACATTTTCATCTTATTTTATGACACGTTCATCTTACTCTATAACATGTTCATCTTACTATGTAACATATTCATCTAATTATAGATTTGCGTCATAATCTTCCAATAAGATAAATTTTGTAAAAAATGATAAATTAATTGTGTTCCGAAAAATATCAAATGTGGTCTCTATTTGTAGAGAATGAAAAATTATGAATTTTGGTATTTTTATTTTTATTTTATGATACAAAACATGAATGATAATTTATTTTATATAATATGATATATGGAACACATGTCCCATTTTTTTTTTTAGAAAAAAAATATTTACCTCCTTACCTCTTACCTCACGCGCCTTTGGGAGGATTGCATTTCACAAAAGACCCTGGCACACCTAGCAAGGTGTGCCAGGGCACACCTAAGTATTTGCCCTGATAGACAACCTGGATCCCAATCCGTCTAACTCAGAGTGCTTGAGCATGTTATCGAGTCAATCTCGAGCATAAGTTTTAGGAGGTCGAGCCACTAGCGATCGGTTCGAGATATGTTGTGAATTACTAAAATACCCCTTATATATAAATATTACTATATTTTATCTATGTAGGTAAATGGTACTTGAAATTTGGGTCGAACTCGAGTCGAGCTCGAGCAATATCTCGAGCATTTTGATTTCAATTGATCTCGAGCCGAGCTCGAGCGATTGCTTTCTTGTCGAGTCGATCTCGAGCGTCATAAATGGAGCTCGACGAGCTCAGGCAGATAAAAAAAATAAATCATATTCGATAAGATCAATACTCGACTCCACTCAATTCGTTTGCAGCCCTAATCCCAGTACATATAACAAAATTGTTGCTTTTGGCAAACAGGTAAGAAGAAATGTTTTCTTGCTACAAATGCTTATATTGTAATATGACACTTTTATATTTTACATAATGATCAAATGAGAATGAGAAAGTTAGACGTATTGTTTGCGGTAACGGAACACCGAAGTGATGATTTATCAGTTACGTGGAGATTAAGTTGTTTGTGATAGATTTGTGTTGGAACTAAAAGGCTATCACCGTGCACAGTACGACCTACCCAATTTAGTTGCTCACATTTAACATTTTATTATATCAATATGTGTATTTTTGGCAAAATAGGTTGCTTATTAAAATACATCATAAATAAAATTTGCAATTAATTACCACTTCTCCAAATAACTTGATATAGATAGTTTACATATCAGCAAAATTAGATTTTAATAAATATAACTGGATTTTGCACAACAAATAGATTATAGTACCACCAGTGGCGATACTAGCTCTCAAAAATTTTCGCAAGATATAAAGGAATACTCTAGAGATTTTTCTAAAAATCAAACTAAGTCCGGAATTAAACTGGTATACTTAAACTGAATTGTTTTAACTCGAAAAATACTCAAATTTATACTAATAAAAATATCGGACTCAATTATAGTAATAATCAAGAATTATACCTCCTTTCGAATAGACTAAAAGTTGAAAAAATTGAGAAAACGAAGCCTCGAATGATCGAACTCGTCCTCGACAAATTTGCTCCTTTTGATACTATTTAACGCAGAAATTCAAACTCTCATAATAAATGCTCGGAACTTAAAAAAATGCGAAATTTGTCCGTATGAAATCGTGCTTGAATTTTCTACACACTCCAACTCGATTCTCGTTAAACCGACGTCACACGCAACCTTACGGAACCCCGCAAAACGGCTTTTTATTCTTCTATTATGTGCACTCGACTTCGAGCTTCTCAAAATAAATGCTCGAAACTTTGAAAAGTGAAATAAATTTTACGAACGGCTTTTACTGTTCTCGTGCTTTCAAGAAAGCCCTCCCGCTAATTTTCAGCACGCCTAACGAGGGCCGACGGTTACCCGAAGTCTAGACATGAAAATGACAATAAAATCACCGTCACTGCCATTTTTCTCTCAACTTCGGGCTACCCAAAATAAATGGTCGGGACCTCAAAATCATAAATCGATGCCACCAACGCACTCTCCGCTTCCCGTACTTTCATAAAAGTATTTTTCAGTAATGATCGACTCGGCTTTTGAGTCTCGTCGGTACACCGCAAGTCGGCTAATTAACCAACTCAAAATATAATAAAAATGAAAAAATTATTAAATTCTGCTGCTGTTATAGTTCTATTTGTCCCGAAACCAGGATCTCGTTTCAGGGAGGGCCCAATTTGCCTTTAAAAAAAAATTCACGCCAAAACCGGTGGCGCCCCTCTGGCCATGTATGTACCGCATGAAATCGGGGAGGGCCTAACATGCGCGCTGAAAGGAAAATCTTCCAGTTCCAGCAAAATCCTCCACCCCTAGTTTAATTTTTTTTTGGAGGCGCC